AAAAAAAGTAGGGGCTGATTACGTAAGATGCGAGAGGAGTCCAGGAATGAGATCTGCATTCACAAAAATCGAACTGGGGTCACATGGGGAGAGCAACCCAGCTGTTGGATTTGACAACCTAGCAATTTGGTATCAAAAACTAAACAGGATCGCAGCGCCTTGGTATTACGTGACAGGTAAATGTTTCTTATTATTCTTGAATGGTCTAAAACGGGTACTTTGTTTAGGTAGGTGAAGTCTGCATAGCCGCCAAATTGTCATAATATACCTGTGGCTGGCCGGTTTCTGAAGCACGAAGCGACAAGGAGTATTTCTACTCCTTCCTGGACGGGATTCTAGTCCATCGCAGGGTTACCCCCAGCAATAAATTCGAAGGTACCCATTTATACAGCCAGGACTCGAACTCGGGCCGCCCAATCCGTAGTCGAGCGCTCTAACCATGACGGGCCTCCCCACCTCACACTCCATTTAAGGGAATTGTCAAAGAACTACTGCATGAAAAAGGCCCATGGAACAACGTCTGCTTGACTTGATCAGCACGAAACCATCTCATGAAAAGGTTCTTTACAACAGAGACTAAATTGTCTTGATCTGCATGCTAGGAATAAAATTACTAGCATGCAGTCAAGACGTTCAGCATTTGAAAATGTCTCAATTTTGATGAGTTTTTTTTTTTTCTCACTTTTCCGGTTCATTTACTGGGATTTGTTTTCTTAAAGTCAAGCTTACTGTGACAGTACCTCCCATAGACGACGTAGATGGACACCTCTTCTGAGAGGCACTTGGCCATGGTCCAGGTGACATACAAACACTACATTTTGTACTTCCACCAGAGGACTTCACTCCAAAGTGGACGCTTATTTGGCTCCAAGGGTGCCACCTTACGGAATGTTCGCCTGTAATAGATATTTATTACTAAATGAAACTCGTTACCAAAATTACTTGTAATAACAGGTTATGATTATTGCAGAAAACAGTCGCATTTCAATTGATGCTCACTTGGATGTTGCACTTATCGACCTACCATGGGATCCCAATTTAGCAGTGGAAGGATCCAACGAATACAATGACTTAGTGGATGTATTTAAAAACCAGGTAGGTTTTGGATTTTGTTAAGAGTGTCTACTTTCATTCAGGTGTGTGTTGCTTTACAGTTCAGCTAGCTTACGTTTCGCTTCTGTATAAGCCCAGCGACGATTATTAATTTCTTTTACTTTATACTCTATTTTCACTTCATAGTACGATTTCATTGCTCAAGCTACATGTACTTTCTCTATTTAATAGATGGGAAACCTGAACGACTCAGTCTATGGAAATGTTTTGAAGGCTGAAATATCTAGTTTCGGGTAAGCTGAAGACTTGTAGTTTCTTGCCGATTTCGTTTTAATTTACAACAAGGGCTAAGACTGAGGCAGACCTAAGTAAGGGTTACTTAAGTGCATGCTTGGTTATCAAGAAAATGTTGCAAAGAGAGGTATGTTCCGTTATGCTACTAAGCGAATGCGGTTTCTTTCCGCGTGCTACGCAAGTTTACTAGCGGTATTTTTGGGCCACCGATAATCAAAAACAAATTAAACAACCAAACTATATCCATGTTAAAAAAATCTTAAAAGTTGTTGTCACTGACTTAAAAATCTTAAAATAGACGTTTCGGCTAAAATACTATAACCTTCTTCAGTNGATGAAATGAATGTTAATGGCGTCTAAATGTAAATGAGATGTTTATAAGAATGTGAGGAACTCGCTAGGGATTAAT